CAAATAAATCCACTTCTTACCTATCACTTTGTCTCTCACTGAACTCTTTCTGTGACAAGAATCAAGAACCTGAGTTTCATTAAGTCCTGAGACCAGGTGTGCGATTTCAATTAAAAGGCCGTGGGTTCAATGTTCATTGCAGCTCTATTTACAATACAATAGTTCATTGCAGCTCTATTTACATGGAAGCAACCTAAGTGCCCATCGACAGATGAATGGATAAAGATGTGGCACATATATACAATGGAATATTACTCAGCCATAAAAAGAAACGAAATTGAGTTATTTGTAGTGAGGTGGATGGACCTAGAGTTTGTCATACAGAGTAAGTCAGAAAGAGAAAAACAAATACCGTATGCTAACACATATATATGGAATCTAAAAAAAAAAAAAAAAGGTATGACGAACCTAGGGGCAGGACAAGAATAAAGACGCAGACGTAGAGAATGGACTTGACATGGGGAGGGGGAAGGGTAAGCTGGGAAGAAGTAAGAGGGTGGCATGGACATATATACACTACCAAATGTAAAACAGATAGCTAGTGGGAAGCAGCCACATAGCACAGGGAGATCAGCTCGGTGCTTTGTGACCACCTAGAGGGGTGGACTAGGGAGGGTGGGAGGGAGATGCAAGAGGGAGGAGATATGGGGATATATGTATATGTATAACTGATTCACTTTGTTATACAGCAGAAACTAACACACCATTGTAAAGCAATTATACTCCAATAAAGATGTTAAAAAAATAAATAAATAAGAAGGCATTCCATAACATCTCAAGATTAATCTCCTTCTCTCCCATGGTCACATAGGGCACAATTAAAATCGTTAAAGTAGAATGCATATATCAAAAAAAAAAAAATGACCATGGGTTCAAGTCCCAGTCTGGGTTGCACAGTTTCAATCTCACCTTGGGGGTCCACATCTAGGACTAGGTTTTAATTTATACACACAGATATATATATATATATATGTACTTAGTGAGCACCTAGTTTTTCTTTTTCTGGGAAAAAAAACAGATCCCACCTTCACCACTGTTACCATGACTATTAGCCTCAAGCTCTAACCTGCCCTCTTCCTGGAAGGAAGGGAAGTGTTATATTGTCTTACAGGAAACCGCCAGAACAGAAAAACAAGGGGCCACCAGAATTGGTTAGAACGAGTCAAATCCAAGAAGGTGGAAGACCTGACCTCCAGCAGACCCTGAGCCTCATTATATGCTCATGATAACAATATCATGCTGAATGACACACCTACCAGTGCCATGACAGGAAGTACCGGACCACAGAAGGAAGAAAAAGAAGTGGCACCCAGTTGCAGGAAGAACTCTGCCTTTTCCCAGAAAACCAATGCATATGCACCCACCACCACCATTAACCCTGCCTTTAAAAATCTCGCCTTGGTCAACTCCCCACCCCCAGAAGTTGATTTGCGAACTAATTTCCTGCTTCTCCAGTCTCTGGCCATTGAATAAAATTTGTGCTGTTTCAGTCACAGCATCGTTTCATTATTGGCTGTCTGAATCCAAATGGAAAAAGAAACTTCGCTACCACCGAGGCAGGGGGCTTCTGCTGAGCTATGGTCCAACGATCAATCTGGTAACGTCCCCACTAAACAGCCTCAGGGATAAAGTTCTAAACTGAAAATAAAGTCACCTAAAACACTCTAATGATGACTTCTACAGAAACCACTTAATCAGGCTCAGCTGTGAAGGTTTATCAGGAAGTCAGGCTGATACCGGAAAACATCACCACTTGGGTAAAAGATAAAAGATACTTAAGCATGAGTGGCTCCTAAAATTGAAAAGCTAACTAATTAAACTAAGCCTCTTTTAAAAAAAAAAGTAAAGCCAGAAAAGGGAAAAGCTAGCAGGAAAAATATATTCTTCCTTCTGAGCATAAATAAGTGGGAATTCAGAGGAATCACTGGATTACTCACTTTAAAAATTTAGTCACTTGATGATTTCCAGATAAGTCACCAGAAACCAGCTGTGGACCTTGCTGTGCATTCTATTCCCTTTTTACTCATGTCCACGTTATGTACTGAGCACTGTCCTAGGTACTATGGTTGGGGGGACTGGGTGTAAGATGAATGAAACTGTCACTCTGTCATCAAGAGCCTAGTACTACTGTTAAGACCATGCCAGAAAACTTTAGGAGTATTTACCCATTCTACCACCCCTTTCCCTGGGAACTAACACCCTAACACTGATCCACGTAGTCGTGACATCGGATTAGCCATATTTACACGACCTGGCTTCACCCCTCCTGGCCATGTTTGACCTACGGAAGGCCACTGAGAGTTCCTTCCAGAGAATCTGGAAAGGAAGAAATAAGCAGTCTCTCTGTTGGCCAGAAATCTACATAACAGTACCCTTGGACTGCGGAGGCCCACGTTGGCACTATACAGCCTGTGAAGCAGAGAAAGCCAGACTGCATAAGAAGAGAATAAAGCCGATGTATATTTGTATGGACAAGTGCTAAAGAAGGAATAGCACCTGGGTCCCTGGCAGCTCTCAGTTCCAGGGCAGACCATTCTGAAGCCTGCCAGCCTCACCACCCTTGTAGCCCTATATCAAGCTAGCCTAAGGTAGTTTCTGTTATTTGCAACCAAAGAACCCTAATAAATACAGAAGGAGTAGGACCACAACACAAATTCATCTAAAGCACAACATGATGCTGAGTTGGCTAGCATTCTGCTTCATTCACCTGAACACATCTTGAACAGTGAGTGGCACAGTAAGTGATAAAAGATGGGGGTGTGAGTCCAGTCTCCACCCTTTGCCAGTCCTGTGACCTTGAGTAAATCCATTTAGCCCACACTCAACACAGGGCCTCCCACAAAGCGGGTACTCAAAATATATCTGCAAGAGGAAGGACTCTGGGCAAGTAGCCACCTACAGACTGGGTGCACTTACCTCTTCAAGACATTTCTCACCAATAAAATGGGAATAATAATGTCTCTTTATGTATCTCACAGAATCAGAATGTACACAATCACTGTGTGATTAAAAGTCACTAAAAGGTTCAGAATGATGGGCAGGTCAAACAGAGACCCACTCGGATTAAACAAACAATATTTATTTATCTAAAGCAAGGGCTGGCAAACTATAGCCCACAGGCCAAATCCAGCCACCACTGGATTTGTGTGTTTGTATGGTCCACAAGATAACAATGGTTTTGTATTTGTAACAAAAAACAATGGTTTTTACAAATGAACATTTGCAACCAATTTGATGGAAGGGAATACTAATTTTTAACCCCAACTCAGGTAAATGTTACCTCCCCCCAAAAAAGAATTCCATTCTTTTAAGAATTATATGCTTAGTAGACTTTTATTGTAAAAACTATACTCAATTACTATTATTATAATTTTAATTTTGTCAATAAAAAATGTGTGCACATTTGGTTCTCTCTTGTTACAAAGCACCTACACAGTATCTTGATTTTGCCTATTGGCCCACAAAGTCTAACAAATTTACTATCTGGCTCTTTACAGAAAAACTTTGCCACTTTTAATCTAAACAATGTCCCTGGGAATTCCCTGGTGGTCCAGTGGTTAGGACTCTGACGTCCACTGCAAAGATTACAGTTCAATCCCTGGTTGGGGTACTAGGATCCTGCAAGCCACGCAGTGCACCCATAAATAAATAAATAAACAAACAAACAATGTCCAAGAAGTCAACTCAGTCAGGGACATAGAACCAAAGTTATCTTCTCATCAGCACTATTATTTTTAGAGTGCAATTTTGCAGAAGATGGAGCTGTTTACAAATGCATATTTTGCAAGATAGCAGGGTAAACCTGCAATAATGTCTGAGTAAGTGACAGTCACATCAGACCTTGCAGAAGCTCAACTATCCACTTCAAGCCCAGGCTTACACAGGCAGGGCCAGCCTGGCGATGTGCTCACCAGGGTCAGGAACACATCATCAATCTAGACAGTATGTCTATGAAGTACAGTACAGTACCAAATATTCAGCCATCACCCTCAGCCTCCCAGATTAACACACTGTGGTCGAGGTTCATTCTTGAACCTAGATCTGTAAAACGGGAACCAAGGCCTATTACCCATAAAATCTAAGGTTGTAACGATAGTTCTTTAGACCAGCCATTAAGCCTGTCGCACAAAACAAAACTAGGTAACATGCATCATACCTGAGTAAACACTGGAAATAAGTGATTATGTTCACCAACATAATTAATAACAATAATAATGACAAATAATTTTTAAATATAATAAATAAAACAAATACTAATAAAATAATTTTAAAATATTTTGGAACACCTACAATAGGCATATAAAGGTGCATAAGAAATGGACTTTCCTAGGCGAGAAAACAGAATATATGAGTCTCTTATGTAATACTATATAAAACAGATGAAAAAGAGAATAGCACTACTTAAAACACAGGGTTAACACAGGACCTTAGAACTTCAAGGTGGCCTCTGAATAACATTCATGGACGCCTAAGCTCCCACAAGTATAGAGCTTGAAAACCACAATAAAAGACAATCAGCAGCTCCAGAGCTCTGTGTCTTCTTTGTCCAGAATATCAGGACAACAATACCAGCTATTTCCAAGGTTTGCGAGCATTAAATGAATTGATGATTAAATATTCTTTTTAGTGAGTAGCACATGGTAAGCACTCCGTAAATATTAGCTATTAGTATCTTTTTTACTAAATAGCTGTCATCACATTGTATATACAGTAAATATAATTATTCATTCTGATTATTTCTCTTTATTAGACTATACGTATTCCCATATTGTCACATATTCTTCATCGGCATGTTTTTAACTTAATGAGCCACAAATGGCACTTCAGTTTTACTTTGATTTGGGTTTATGTAATAATTAGTGAGGGTAATTATCTTTGCATATATTTATTAATTGTATATTTTTCTTGTTTTGTCTGTTCATGAGCCTTGTTCAAGAACCCAGTGGGAATCTCCATGGTTTCTTAAAATTAATGTTGGTTCAAAGTGAAAAGAAGCTTACCTTCTGGGCACCCTGTCTTAAAAATGTGCTGGCAAAAGTTTCCAAAACGCAGTTGAGAAAACCAGCCCCTGTGATTGAAATCCTGCCTTTTTGAATGAACTCTGTCCTGCAAAAAACAAAAATATACATCTTTGTAACACAACATTGTAAAGCAACTATACTCCAATAAAAATTAAAAAGAAAATATATATATATATATATATACACACACACACACACACGTTTGGTGTCATTGGTGTCACCTTTGGTGTCATTCTATATTTGAATATTTAAATTATAGGGATTTCCAACAGCATTATTACCACTTATAATCAACACAAAATAATATCCATAACAATTCAATAATTGCCTATTACAACAAAGATTTTATCAAAAGGAGACTTCCAGTTTATATAATATAAGCAACGTATTATATTCAAATTAAAGACTATTCATTTCAAGTTGCTAAGAAAGTAGATTTTAAAAGTTCTCACCACACACACAAACTGTAACTATGTGAGGTAATGGATGTGTTAAATAACCTTATTGTAATAATTATTTTACAATATATACATATATCAAATCATTACACTGTACATCTTAAACTCACACAATATTACATGTCACTTACATCTCAATAAAGCTGGAAAGAAGAGAAAACACATGGGTACATTATGCTGATTATAAAAACTGCAGAACACAGAATTTTTATTTATACCTAACAAATAATTCAATGATCAAACTGTAATAGTCAGGACAGTCAACAAACTTTAAGAATCTCTACCTGACCCAAAATAAATAAATTTAACTTATTCTAATATATATATATATATATATATATATATATATATATATATATATGTATTTATATATATATATTTCTCATTCCATGCTACAAAATGTCTTGTTAAAATTGAGTATGAGACAATAATCAGCTGTATGACCTCAGGTAAATTACTTAGATTCTCTTAACTCAGTTTCTTCCCATGAAAATTGGGAATAATTATAGTATCTTCCTTTTACAACTAGTGTCAGAAGTAAATGAATTAATACATACAACAGGAACATGAACAGTTCCTGACACAAAGTAAGGAACTTATTATATGTTAGCCACCATTACTAAAGAGAGATAGACAGACAGAGACAGGAAAGAAGCCTGGAATGACTTCTTTAATCTTTGATTAGAAAAGGAGGTGAGACAGATTATATGTGCCACTAACCTATTTAAAGTTCTACCAATATTGGGACTTCCCTGGTGGCACAATGGTTAAGAATCTGCCTGCCAGTGAAGGGGACACGGGTTTGAGCCCTGGTCCGGGAAGATCCCACATGCCATGGAGCAACTAAGCCTGTGTGCCACAACTACTGAGCCTGCGCTCTAGAGCCCGTGAGCCACAACTACTGAAGCCCGTGTGCCACAACTACAGAAGCCCATGCGCCTAGAGCCCATGCTCCATAACAAGAGAAGCCACCGCAATGAGAAGCCAGTGCACCGCAATGAAGAGTAGCCCCCACTCACTGCAACTAGAAAAAGCCCGTACACAGCAACGAAGACCCAACACAACCAAAAATAAATAAATACATTTATTAAAAATAAAAAAAGTTCTACCAATATTAATTATCTCCATTTCATAAAGCAAAGATTTGAATGACACTTGAGAGTGATGTCATAAAGATGGCAGGATAAGAAGCCCCAGGCCCTCATTCCCCCACAGAGACCCCAACTTATGGGCCAAGTTGCCTTTATGAGAAGTGCATAAACCAGCTAAGAGACTGCAGCACCCCAGGTGAGTACAAAGCCAAGCAGAGCCACACTGAAGTGAACAAAAACGTTTGCTGCATTTACCTGCCACAGTCCCCATCCACCCAGCACAGGGCACCACAATCAGGAAAAGAACCCTGTCTCCTGGCTTCTCCTTGAAAGGAAAGAAAAGAGCAGAATGTACAGCTAACATTCTGACTTTACAGTGGGCTGTCCAAGGAACTGGTTTCTGTCTTGCCTGACTCAGAAGGCTGAAGGGAACAGCAGCATACTTTGGATGTCTGGGGGCTGCTAAGAACAAAAGCAAGCATGGTGGCTTGTTACAGCACCAAAGAATCTGCAGTACCACAAACAGACACCGGGGGAGCAAGAGAACATGAGCTCTTGATAACTGGGGCAAACCTTCTAACTGGAAAATTACACACACAAGCCCCAAAGAGAAACATCCTCACAAAAGACATGAGGGCCACCCCCCCACAAAACCTCTACCCAGGCTGATGGGTGAAGGTCTTCCCCTGCACAAAGCCAGTCTGCAGAGGTTGGGAGAGGTGGCTGTCTTTTCAAATGCCCAAGTCTCAACAAAAGATCACAAAGTAAACAAAGAAACAAGAAAACAAGGCCCAACCAAAATAACAAGATAAATCTCTGGAAACCAATCCTAAAGAAACAGAAATCTATTAATTACCTGACAAAGAATTCAAAATAACCACATGAAAGATGGTCAATGAGTTAAAAGAGAACAGAGGTAGACAACTAAATGAAATCAGGAAAATGAGGAATGAACAAAATAAGAATCTCAACAAAGAGACAGAAACTAATTTTAAGGAAAAAAAAAAAAAACAGTAATCCAGGAATGGAAGAATAAAATATAAAAACTGAAAAATTCACTAGAAGGGTTAAACACCAGATCTGATCAAGCAGCAGAAAGAATCAGTGAACTTGAAGACAAGTCATTTAAAATTACTGAGTCAGAGGAGAATGAAAAATGAAAAAGAAAAAAGAATGAAGAAAAGTTAAGATGGCCTAATGGACTTACAGGACATCATGAAGTGGTCAATGTGCACATAACGGGAGTGCCAGAAGGAGAGGAGAGAAAGAAAGAAGCAAAAAGCCTATTTGAAGAAATAATGGCAGAAAACTTCCCAAATTTGAGGAAGAAAATGGACATCCAAATTCAAGAAGCTCAATGATGCCAAAGAGGATAAATCCTAAAGAGACCCACATCAAGACTTTTATAATCAAATCATCAAGTCGCAGACAATGAGAGAGAATCTTGAAAGCAGCAAGAAAAAAAGCAACTTGTCACATACAAGGGAGCCCACATAAAATTTTCAGCGATTTCTCAGGAGAAACTTAGTAGTTCACAAAAAATTGGTATGATATATTCAAAGCGCTAAAGAAAAAAAAAAAATGTAAACCAAGAATACTGTATTTGTTAAAACTATCCTTCAACAATGAAGGTGAGCTCTTTGTTTCCTGGTGCGCGACGAGAGGGGATTAAGAGCACTGCTTAAAGGAGGTCCAGAGACGGGCGCAAGCTGCAGCTAACAGCGCAGACCCCAGAGACAAGCATGAGACGCTAAGGCTGCTGCTGCTGCCACCAAGAAGCCTGTGTGTGAGCACAGGTCACTAGCCACACCTCCCCTCCTGGGAGCCTGTATAGCCCGCCAATGCCAGGGTCCCAGGATCCAGGGACAACTTCCCTGGGAGAACGCACAGCGCACCTCAGGCTGGTGCAACGTCACACTGGTCTCTGCCACCGCAGGCTCGCCCCGCACTCCGTATCCCTCCCTCCCCCTGGCCTGAGTGAGCTGGAGCCCCTTTAACCCCATCCTGTCTGAGCGAAGAACAGATGCCCTCCGGCAACCTACACGCAGAGGCGGGGCCAAATCCAAGGCTGAGCCCCTGTGAGCTGTACAATCAAAGAAGAGAAAGGGAAATCTCTCCCAACAGCCTCAGGAGCAGCGGATTAAATCTTCACAATCATCTTGATGTACCCTGCATCTGTGGAATTCCTGAATAGACAATGAATCATCCCAAATTGAGGAGGTGGACTGTGAGAGCAAGATTTACTATTTTTTCTCCTTTTCCTCTTTTTGAGAGTGTGTATGTATATGCTTCTGTGTGAGATTTTGTCTGTATAGCTTTGCTTTCAACATTTGTCCTAGGGTTTTTTCTGTCCGTTTTTCTTTTGTTTCTTTTACTTTTTAAAAAACTTTTTTCTTAATAATTATCTTTTATTTTAATAACTTCATTTTATTTTACCTTACGTTATTTTATTTTGTTTTATCCTCTTTCTTTCTTTCTTTCTTTCTACTTTATCTCCCTTTTATTCTGAGCCATGTGGATGAAAGGCTCTTGGTGCTGCAGCCAGGAGTCAGTGCTCTGCCTCTGAGGTGCGAGAGCCAACTTCAGGACACTGGTCCACAAGAGACCACCCAACTCCACGTAATATCAACATTAAACAACATTAAACGCACTAACATTCGAATTATAGGGGTTCCAGAAGAAGAAGAGAAAAAGAAAGGGACCGAGAAAATATTTGAAGAGATTATAGTTGAAAACTTCCCTAATATGGGAAAGGAAATTGTTAATCAATTCCAGGAAGCACACAGAGTCCCATACAGGATAAATCCAAGGAGAAATATGCCAAGACACATATTAATCAAGCTGTCAAAAATTAAACAATTAAGAAAATGGGAATAGGAACATACATATCGATAATTACCTTAAATGTAAATCGACTAAATGCTCCCACCAAAAGACACAGATTGGCTGAATGGATACAAAAACAAGACCCATATATATGCTGTCTACAAGAGACCCAATTCAGACCTAGGGACACATACAGACTGAAAGTAAGGGGATGGAAAAAGATATTCCATGTAAATGGAAGCCAAAAGAAAGCTGGAGTAGCGATTCTCATATCAGACAAAATACACTTTACAATAAAGACTATTAGAAGAGACAAAGAAGGACACTACATAATGATTAAGGGATTGATCCAAGAAGAATATATAACAATTGTAAATATTTATGCACCCAACATATGAGCACCTCAATACATAAGGCAAATACTAACAGCCATAAAAGGAGAAATCGACAGTAACACATTTATAGTAGGGGACTTTAATACACCACTTTCACCAATGGACAGATCATCCAAAATGAAAATAAATAAGGAAACACAAGCTTTAAATGATACATTAAACACGATGGACTTAATTGATATTTATAGGACATTCCATCCAAAAATAACAGAATACACATTTTTCTCAAGTGCTCATGGAACATTCTGCAGGATAGATCATATCTGGGTCACAAATCAAGCCTTGGTAAATTTAAGAAAATTGAAACTGTATCAA